GGTGGGTCTTTAGCGTCCCTTTCCCCCCAAACCAGTCTGTGATTCCCTGATTCTGCAGGACCCTTCTGCCTGCAGGACTGGTGACAGGGCCTGGGCTGCCAGGCAGGCTAAAAGGGATGCTTTGCCCTGGGAAGGGCTGCAGCCGCCGTGGGGAGAGGGCAGGCGGTTCAGGCAGCACAGCAGCCGACCAGAGATACCTGTGAGTGCAGCTGAGGTCAGGATGTGCCCCTCAGCCATCCCCAAACTCAACCGAGAAGTGACACACGAGGACACAGGCCAGCGCGCACGCCGGTCCGTCACCCCGGGAGGACTTGGAACTGCGGTGTCTGTAGCTCAGCTCTGCAGGCGAGGGGCGCCCAGCCCATCGTGGAGGGCAGAGACCCCAACCACAGCCCCATTGTGCCCCTGTGCTCTGGCAAAGCCACCTCCAAGGTGAGATAACCCCACGGGACAGAGGGAAACCCAGCTGGGTTGTGGACAAGGAGGCGCGGGAAGGGAGGGAAATGACGCTGGAAGACTTTCCCTAAATAGCTCCTGACTCCCAGCCGTGGCGGCACAACCCCCTGCCATAAAAAGGCAGAGGATCACGACTCACCCTCGTAGGACAGCACGTGGCCTTTCTTCCCTTCGTAGATGACATGGCCTTTGGGCATGGCATCCTCCCTCGCCTTCTCTGCTCTGCTGGGGCTGTCTTCTCCGATTATCCGGGTGATGGTTCCTTTGTACAGCACTTCTGCCGGGGTGCCCTTGGAAAGCCACCAAGATCCATATTTAACAGCGTCACAAGCAATTAAGGGAGCGCGCGCAGGGGGACAGGCTGTTCCCCACGGGAGCTGAGCGTCTGGCCTCCGCTTCCTGGTGCGGCCAACGGCGAGGGACCTGCAGCTTAATTATTGATAAGGACGATAACGAGGAGCGGTAAAAAGGTAGGTGATCTGCACAAGGCTGCTGGGAAGAGGCTGGGGGGAGGACAGAGCTGACCTCCAGAGTGCAACTCCATTGCCCTGCATGATTCAGAGGAAGCTACCCAGCTCACTTCCACCCCACAGGTTTGGGGGGACAGGGTGGTGCCCCCCTCGGGACCCCTCGGTGATGGCAGGGACTGCCTACACGTTAGCTCTTCCCTGCAGCCTGTTTTCCAAGCCTGGTACAGGAGCCATGGAGATAGAATCATAGAATGGTTTGGGTTGGAAGGGACCTTAGGAGAGCTGCCTGTGTGCGGGAGATGGCGGGTGTCAGCAGGAGCGGTCCGGCAGCAGGTCGGGAAGCGAAGCCTGTGGTTAGCTATCCAACAGTTGGGATCAGGCTCCTCACACAAGCTGGTGTGAACTGAGACCTCTGCTTCCCTGGAAGCACCCACGGACACCGCTGACAGTCACCTGCACCTC